GGTGACCTAACTACTCTAGTTTCCCATGTATGCTTCCTTCTACCAGCTCTGTTTCCCTAGACAACCCTGACTAATACAAGACTTTTTAGTTTGAGACAAAGTCTCACTCTGTAAGCCAGACTGGCCTCAGCATCAGGAGCACTGGGATTATAGCTGTGGGCCACCAGGTCTGGCTTCCTTGAGACTGTTTGCATATTGTACATTACATTATTTTCTTTTGAGTTCGAATGTGTCTTGCACAGCTACTGTGTGGAACACTCCCCAGGTGTCAGTTAACCCATTTGGTCTATGATCAGGTTTAGGTCTCAAGTTTTTTAGTTGATGTCCCTTCACTTGACTCCTGCCCTCTCCTTTTTTATAATTCTTTAAGACGGGCTTTCTCTGTGTGGCTCTGGCTGCCCTGGAACTCTCGCTGTAGACCAGGCTGGCCTTGAACTCAGAGCTCTGCCTGCCTCCGCCTCCCGAGTGCTCACCACCACCTGGCTTTGATCCATCCCTTAATGACAATGGGGTAGAAGTTGCTCACTGTTGCTGCTTCTGGGCCTGTCTGCACCTTAGTTCCACCAGCTTTGTGGAATTAGATGAATGTATGCGTGTAATCATTGTACCTTCTTGATGGATGTTCCTTTTATAGCTGTGCACTGAGATTCCTGACCTCTCCTTCGCTGGCGTGAAGTCTGTCTTGTCTGATAGAGAGCAGGTATCCCTATGTTTGCTTTGGGCTTCTACTTGCTTAGTATATAATTTTCTATTAACAAACATCTTTGTTTTGAACTATCCTTGAAACCCTAACAGAAACCTTTTGTTATGTATACTGGCATTTTAATGCACAGGAAAAACCAACTTGATATTTTGTTCAGCCCCTTTATATATCTTGTATAAATCATTGTACTGGGTGTTTTTGTGTGTTAACTTGACACAAACTAGAGTCATCAGAGGAAGGAGCCTCACCTGTGGAAATGCCTTGACAGGATCCAGCTGTAAGGCTTTCCGTCATTTAGTGATCAATAAGGGAGGACCCAGCTCATGGTGGGTGGGGCCATCCCTGGGCTGGTGATCCTGGGTTCTACAACAAAGCAGGCTGAGCAAGCCAGGGTAAGCAAGCCAGCAACAGCTCCTGCCTCCAGGATCCTGTCCTGACTTCCTTTGATGACGGACTGTTCTGTGGAAATGTAAGCAGAAGAAACCCTTTCTTCGTTACTTTGGTCATGGTGTTCCGCTACGGCAATAGAAACCCTAACACAACCATCCTCAGTTTGGGGCTCTCCTGGCCCCAGATAGCTAACCCTAATCTTAAAAGATGGGTTTTGGCGTTAGGGTCATGCCTGATCGGCCAAATCAGTCAGGAGATGTCCCTCCATGCTGCATGACTTGTAGTGGTTTAAACGGTCTAACAGACACGATAAACCTCTCTGGGCGGACATGCTTTCTGCGCTGTCTCTCTTGCCATGCCCCGCTTCCTCAGTGGGCCATTGCTCCTTTCTGGTAGTCTCATACATTAACAGGGAAGTTAATCTTACAATTTTTAAACATTTTAACTGCATCTGTTGTATATGTGTCCATGTGTGGGGTTGCAAGTAAGCCACCGTACACGTGCAGGTCAGGACCGTTTGCATAGTTGGTTGATTCCTTCTACCTCGTGGGTCCTGGACATACAACATGAGGTTTTCAGGCTTGGCCAAGAGTGCTTTACTCACTGACCGGTCTTATCTTGGAGTCCATGGCAGCAGTTTTTAAATTAGGCTTTTCTTATCTCAAGTTGTCCAAATTTGCCCTCCTATTTTGTGTTTTGTTAAAGATATGCTAATTGAAGTTGTCTTTGTTTTTGTTGTTTTGAGACAGGGTTTCTCTGTGCAGCCCTGGCCACCCTAGGGCTCATGCTGTAGACCTTGTAATCACAATGATCTGTCTCCGCCTGGTCGAAGTTGTCTTTTTAAAGAACTTACTCAAGAACTACTATGAACAAAACACTGGGAATTCTGTTATTTTTAATTTGTCAATTCTTTCCCATTTAGTTTTGTTTTCCTAGATATTTTAGTATCTAGCTCACTAGTTTTTATTATTTCTGATGTAATAACAGCAGTACAGCTATGAATTTTCCTCTGATTACAGCACTGGCCACACTACAAAGCTTTTCTAAATATGCTCATTTTCATCAAAGAAGGCTTGGTTTCTCTTTGAAAAGTGTTCTAAAATTTACAAATAGTTGTATTTATTTTTAGTTTGGGTAGTAGTTCCTAAGTTTATTGCACTATAGAATTCAGTTTGGGCAATTCCTACTAAAATTTTGAGATATGCGGAGCAGGGGTATAACAGACTTTTACAAAATGGCTGTGGATTTAAAGTGTACCCATTTGCCATATGGTACAAAGGAATGTGAGATTTTTTTTGTTGCCATTTTCTAAAACTGAGCTATTTCCCCCTACTCCCGGCAGGCATCTCCTCCCCTTCCCCCTAACACCCTACCCCTACCTACCCCCACTGCTCCCAACTTACTCGGGAGATCTTTCTATTTCCCCTCCCTAGGCTGACCACCCTCTTTGTTACACAGCTTCTTCTGTTATCTACTGTGAGTGAGTGCACACTGTTTGTCTTTCTGTGACTGGGTCCCCTCACTCAGGGTAGTTTCTGTTCTAGTTCCGACCACTTGCCTGCAGATTTGAAGATGTCACTGGTTTTGTTTTTATTGCTGAGAAGCACTCCGTTTTCCCGTCTTCCTTATCCATTCTTAAGTTGAGGGGCATCCAGGTTGATTGCAGCTTCTGGCTATTACGGATAATGCTGCTGTGAACACTGATGAGAAAATGTCCTTGTAGTGTGAGGGGGGATGTGCACTTTTTAATTTCGCGTTTGAATTTGGATTTTCCTAACACACTGTTGAAAACTGTTTTAAACGAGGTGCCAGGCTTGCTGCTTCTGTTCTCCCCCACCGTTTTCCCAGCTGGTAAAGCCACCCTTCCCTCGCGCACTCTGCACAGTAGCCATCGCCACTGGGGCTGATCCCAGTCCTTGAAGACTCAGGCTAGGGTCCGCTGAGAACAGAGGTGAGCAGGTCTCATCGACGGGCATTTGCTGTAACCCTCTGTCAGTAGTCATTTCTCTGTAGCTGCTTTCTCCAGAAGCCTTCACCTTTAGCCTGCAACTAAGGAGCCAAACGCAGGCATCTCTGGGAAATGACTGATGCAGATCACAGGCAAACCGACAGTTTAGTTATCCAGACCCTTGTCTGTGGGCATGTAGGTGCTTGCCAAAAATCAGATTACATCCTGTAGACACAGGCACAACTTGTCTTTGTACTCTATTTGGTACTTAGTCTCCAAAGTGAATTTTGGTTTTTTTGGTTTTTGGTATGTTATATGCAAGCTATCAGGACTAGCTGGTTTGGGGTGAAAACACCCGCTCTCAGAACCCTGCTGATGGAGGTACCGAGGCATTCCTGACACTCACTGAGGAGACCATCAGGAGTCCTCCGTAGCTGTGAGTTCTGCTCTCCTCCTCCTCTGCAGAACGATGCCCTCATCTGGCATCTGGCTGCATCTTGTGTAAGTGCCATCAACAGCTGAGCTTTCCACGTGGTGGCCACCCTTCTGTTTCTCGGTGAATATTCTAGGCACTCTGGTAGTCAGGTTGGAGAAGGCTCTCTCACATCCACCCCTCAGACCGGAAAACGCCTTTCCTCCCACTACTGTGGTTGGCTTTGACAGGCGTCTTGGAACCACAGCACACGGAAACCGAAACGGCCTTGGGTTGAAATGTTTTCATAGATGGCTATTCTGCTGGTTTCCAGCTTTACCTAGAATCCCCAAATGAGTGGACTTCCATAAATTTGTTTTGCATAAAAATTTACCATGTCCTTTTGAAAACCAAGAGGAGCTTACGCAGAGTTGTTCCAGTGGTTGCCATTCATGATGTGCTCAACGTTCTCACTGTAGCAATGATTACACACTGTGATTCTTGTGGTGCAATCCTGGGCTAGTTACCAACACTAACTGGCGTTTGAGCGACTCATTGCTTCTTGCATAGCTGTGAAGTAGGAAAAACAAAACTCCCCGCATGAACCTGCTGTGATGAAAGCTGATGTTCTGAAAGGATCTAACATACCCCGGTGTTCTCGTACCCGAAGGCAGTCGGAGCCAACGTATGATTCCGCTTGGACTCACATCAGTACTTTCATCCTTAAAGCTGAGCAGTTGCAAATGCAAACCTCGATTTCTTCGTTTCCTTTTGATGGATTTTCTCAAAGCATTCAATCAGACTGCTTGGCTCTTAGCACCCTGTGAGGCAAACGTGGTGGGCAAAATGGACAAGTGAGTAGAAAGCTGTGGCTGCCTCGGTGACAGCCACACAAAGCAAGAAAACAGTGTTGCTGGTAGTTTCACCTCAGCTCACACCCACAGCTGGGTGTAGAGGTGACAGCCTGCATGCCCCTGGGCCAAGTGAACCCAGCTCACCGCAAACCCAACCCCTTGTTACCAACAGTGGCAGTGTGGACGTGGGTCCACCGGAAATGCTGCAGTGATTGGCAGTGGCAGGGTGGGTTCACACCCCTGCCAATCCTCAATCAGAGGGTGGCGGAGAGTGTGCTACACACATCATTGACTGTCCCGACTCAGCTTGCTCTGCCCTGGCCTGGAGCCCCACCCCATTGTTTTAGGTCCCCTCTTCATCTCTGTCCCTTCATGCTCTTGGTGCAATTGAGAGAATCTAGCAACCTTGAGCCCTGGACACTCATCTCCAGCCAGTATGCCGCTGTCCAAGTCAGCCAGACATGCCAGGTCTGCTTACTAACAAGGTGGAGACTCAGGTCGAGAGTGGGAGGAAATGGCCAGCTTGTGGCCTCCTGGCTGGATGGGCGGCTCCGGCTGGATGGACGGCTCTGGCTGGATGTGGTCACAGCAGGGCAGCCATTAGCATTACTGGTAAAAATTCCTGAGGGTTATGCTCTCCAACTTTCCTGGGCGCTACTAAGAAATCGTGTAAGAATATGCACTCCACACCACTTTTAAAATTGTTTATCATTCTTTATTCATTAAAAAAAAATTATGTCATCAAGGATGACTTTTCCAAAAAGCGTGGCCTCTATGTTTGGTTTCTTGATTGTTTAAATACATCAAGAACACAGGAACAAGTAAGTATATGATGTAAGCATAAAAAAATAGACAAATCAAAACTCCCCTGCCTGGGAGCCACTCAGGGCCCGTCAGTGCACAGAGACCACAGTGTCAGTTAGTGAGAGGCTGAGGGGAAAGTTCAGGCCACAGCCCTGCTCAAACCACAGGTCCTTCAGTGTCAGGGGCAGGCCAAGTCCATCGTCCCTCCCCAGCATGGTCTCCTGTCACTCAGAAATTACCTATAAAGATGCAGCCATATGCATTCTTCCCTTATGCAACCTCGCTGCCTTCCAGTCCGGGCACATGGGAACATGGCAGTATTAAGTGTGCATGCCAGTTCTACAGACCACAAGAGCTGCAGTAGCAGCCACCATTCACAGGGTCCCTGTGAGAACAAGGACTGGTTGTTTTCTGGTTCCCTAAAAGCATTTGAAGTTCTAGTGAATGTTATCAAGAACTCAGGAGGTTTTAAACAGGGCCGGCATTCCCAGATGACGTTACTGTGGCCTCCCAGCTTCAATCTGTGGGCCTGCTGGTGGCCAACCCTTTGCTGTCAGGAGTCTGGGCAAGCTGGAGAGAGTTCCTTTCTGTCTCCACGGTCTCGCTGGCCCGCAAATCTCAGACACAACAGCTTTACTGAACCTAAAAAGAAACAGGCACATCTGGGGTTGTTGGAAATGTTTCCTAAGATCTTGAAACACACATGAGGAAATCCTGTTACATTCCAGAGGAAAGGCTGAGCCTAGGCACCTGAAGGAAACAGGCTTTGGGGCAATAGGAAAAATCATGAAAATATAGACTCCCAGGGTTGGTGCCCGAGCAGATGACCCATGTGATTGATGTCCACGTGTGAGCAGATGTCTGGATAGATGTCCTCGTGTGAGCAGATGACCGGAGAGATGTCCACATGTGAGCAGACGACCCGTGTGATGTCCACGTGGCTACCCCGGCTGAGCCCTTCCTGCAGCTGGACTATGCCCGGCACAGCTTCAGTGGGAAGTTCTCTGTGATGAGGTGGTCAGCATGAAGAAGGACCACCACATTGACCTCAAACTCTGCAGGGACGAGAGAGGTGGTCACTCACAGTGCGTGACGCTGTAAAGTTACACCCAAAGTTTCAGTGGGTGTCCCAGAATGTTGGAGATAACAAGGACCGAGAAACTTCTGCCAAGGAAAGCTGTGGGCAACAAAAGTTGGCGAAACATAGCAGTTACATTTGCTGCATGCAGTAGAGCTGGGTGGGTGGGGCTACCCCAGAGCTACCGGAGCAAACGTGGTGGAGCACTCATTTCTGCCATCTGGTCTACCTGGACGTGAGCAAGCAGCCTCCAGCAGTGGCTTCTCCACGACAGGGGCCTAAAGCCCCAACTGTGACCCATGATAAAGCCACTGCCCTTACTGTCCCTTTCAGGTCCAGTCACATGCTTTAAGGCCTTTTCTACAGACTCATGGCGTCTTTGCTGGGCTCGAGGCTGACTCTGAGGGGCTTTCAGCAGTTAGGCTTTAGCGCCCGCACATGCAGCTTCTCAATGAGGCACTGTTGAGGGACCAAAGGGCTCAAAGCTGTGTGGAGCCTGTGTGCAAGCTGCTTCTCCCTGTGGACCACACCCTCCCCAGACCCCGCAGGCCACACACCACACGGCTTACCCACTTTGAAGTTAGTGGTCTCCAGTGTGGGGCAGGTGAACAGTCTGGGGAAGACCATGTACAGAGGGACAGAAAGACTTCTACAAATGTCGCCATCAGCGATTTGAATATTCTGAATCTCTGTGGCATCACGTGCATAGCCTTCCGCACACCCTGGGGAAAGAGGAAAGCCCATGGGGTCAGGACACCACGACACCAAAGCAGAGTGGTCAACAAGCCCTTCCAGTTCTGTGCCGAGCGGCAGCAACACATTCTCCCACTTCTAGTCTGTTCTTCAGCACTGGGGCCCTCCCTTCCACAAACATCGCCACACTGGCACCAGAAGTCCTGGGAACCTAAGGCCCAATTTGTATTTCAATGATCATAAGCCAGTGTGGTCTCTGGGGGTGAGCAGGCCATGATGGTCATCAGACAAAGATGAAGTCTCGGGCATATCTGCTCTGTTACGATGTGATGTTCTCCACCGTGTTAAGACTGCAGGGACAGACAGCTTAGTGGCTGACGACATTTTCTGCTCTTCCAGTTCTAAGGGATCCAACAACCCTTTACAGCCTCACAGGTACCTACACACACACACCACAGACACCCACAGCAGGGGACAGACAACTGTCAGCATCTCATGCTTTGTGCTATGTTACAACATGGCAGAGGCCATCACATGGTGAGCACAGCTAGCCAGCCTGGGAGAGCTCTGTATTACTATGGTCACTCAGCACTGCTGTGCCAGGGAAGCACACCCAGAGCCATGCAAACCAATCTGCTGGCAGCTAAAGCATAGGAACATGGTCATCAGCTCAGCAAATGAGGCTGCCATATTTATGATGTGTTTCCCTACAAGGTCTAGCAGCCCCATGTGCCACTCCAGGAATCGAGGAAAGCATTTTTAAACCCTTGGAGTCCCTGACTCCCAGGGATCGCTCCACACTTGAATTAGAACCTTTGAGGACAGAGCTTAGGCAAGTGCACATACTGGCAAGCTGCAGGAGAATGAGCACAAATGAGTTTGAGTGCATCTGACTCCCAAGAGCAGAGACTCTGTTATAACTGCCCAGTACTGGTCCTCTCCAGTACGGCCTGAGGACGACAACACAGACTCAAACACTTACCACAGGTCTCCACTCGGACCAGCTGAAGCTCTATGCTCCGGATAGCAGCGTCCGAATGCTCCACCACCAGCTCTCCAGTCAGGGGCTGTGTGATAGCGCAGTTGGTGGAGTTCAGATGTCCTCTAATGAGGAATTTGGGGAGTGCGGCCCTCTGTGACAGACAAAAAGATGCCAGGAACAAAAGGAAAAGAGCCATAGGTTGGTTATTCTTGTTTTGCTGCAAGTAAGAACTGAAAACCAAGTTGAGTAATTGCTCTAGAAACTGGAAAACCTGTTGTTCACAACAGAAAGGAGAATAAGCAGTGTCACCATCCTTCGGTGGACATCAGACGACCCCTCAAGCCCCCTTCATCCATGTAAGAGACAGATCTGGAGGACTAACTCTCTGCCTTCACCAGGCAACATGACATAAAATGTAAAAAGCCTGAGAAGTTGACAAGGGTATTTAAGGACAACCACCCCATCAACCCCAGGCTGAAAAATAAACAAAAAAGAAGAGAAAAAGAAAAAAAGATTTAAGGAGAAAAGAAACAGGTAGTCGGTCTTACAATGTTCTTAATTAGGCAAGCTTGAAGCCAATTATTTTCATTTCAAGGCTATTGAAAGAGCAGTTTTTCTCAATCCTGATGAAAAGCTTTGGGACCTTTTTCTGTAGACAGGAAGCTGGCCAAGGGGAACTGGCAGAGGCTCTGGAGGAAAATAGTTGGGCAGTCACTGTAGTAGTCTTCATCTCTGTCATGACCCACTATCCAGTAGAAGCAACGTAAGTCACAAACAAAATCATTCAGAATTTGTAATTGCCTATGAGTGTAATTTAACATTTTCTGGGACCTACACTAAAAATTTTTAGCAATATATCCAAAATGTTATCACTTCTGCATGCCATCAATGAGATATGAATGCTATAGCTCAGCCAGAAGATTATTTGCCTGGCATGCATGGAGCTCTGGCTTCAGTCTCGAGTACCACAAACCAGGCGTGGTAGCACACGCCTGTCATGCTAGCCCTCAAGGGTCAGAAGGTCAAAGTCACCCTCAATTGAATAACAAGGCCAATCTAGGACACATGGAACTGTCTTTAAAAAAAAAAAAATTATAAGCGATGTTTTGTGTTCTCTTTTCCAAACCGTCTGAGGCCCGGCCAGCGCTCTCCGCCTACTCCCCATCCTGAGTGGCACTGGTCACTCAGGGCTGGCGGCCACCAGACTGGTGGAACACCAGCAATGTTTCCCCGTGAAATCCTCTAGAAATTCGTGGGTGGGGGGACAATGTTAAGCTGTTTGTTTGGAAAGGGAGGTGACAGCAGAGGCTCACACTGGTCTCAGGCAGCTTACAACAAGCCGACCTGGGTGCTGCTCTCTAGAGTCTCCAGCAATGTCCCCTCTCCCATGTAATGATGGTGTAACAAGCCCTGAGTCTCATCTGCCTCCCCTGATTTTCTGTAGCCTCCTTACCCCCCCCCCATTCCTGTTTTTACTTAGAAAAGAAAAACCACCAGTGATATTTTATAAATAATGATGTGTTATACAAGTTATTTAAAATAAAGCACGTGCCTGGCGGTGGTGGTGCACGCCTTTAATCCCAGCACCCAGGAGGCAGAGGCAGGCAGAGCTCTGTGAAATTTGAGGCCAGCCTGGTCTACAGACTAAGTTCCAGAACAGCCAGGGCTACACAGAGAAAACCTGTCTTGGAAACCCCAAATAAATAAACAAACAAACAAATAAATAGACATTTCTCGTTTTCCAACAATAAGCATGAACGTCTCTGTTGTGACAAACACTGCTCCCCCAGAGCAGATAGAAAGGTCCCCTGCACACACCTGCCACTCGCTGAGTGATGCTTCCCACAAAATCCAGTGCCCACTACACTCGGGAACAGTCGCGCCAGGGCTGGCAGCAGACAATCTTACTAACAAATCCACACCAGACACCAAGTCCACACCGAGGACCAGCGTGTGAGAACATAAAAGCAGGGGAAAGGGGCCTCTGTTCCACACGTGACGCCTGTAAAGGGGATGTGGGGTGGGGCAAGGGGGACACGGAAGGGTGCGGTGCGAAGACAATGCTTCACAAGGCGTACAAGACGCCGGACACAGAAATCTGCCTGGCCCCAGAACATGATGACTACAGCCTTCCAGAACCTTCTAAAAGGGCTCCCTATGACACACCCCTGAGAAAATGACATCAGCCATGACTCCAGTGTCCCTGATCTCCCAGATATGTCTTCAACCCAGCGTGAGCGAAGTGCTAACCCCAGAAGGCTGGCCGCAGTGGCCCAGCAGGGGCCTGCTGGGTTCTCCTGTGGAGAATCTGCTGCAGCTGCCCAACTCGCGTGTCCCTGCTGCCCACCCCCACCCCGGACCTGGTCTCTGCCTGCCTGCGATGCTGCTAAGAGACCACAGACAGCCTCGGTGAGGGATGAGAGGCCAGGGCCCAGTGACGGAAAGGAGCAGGCAGGGAGCCTGGGCAGGCAGGCAGACCAGCTAGGGCCTGCCGTCGGGGACGATGCGTCATCATTTCACAGAAACGAGGTCACAAGCATGGGGGGGGGGGCTTGAAAAGTGCTGTCTTCTTCCCCCTGAGTAATGGCTGAGCTCAGTATGAACTCAGACACCATCAGAAACCTCTTACCACCGACACCTCGATGCCTAACTAAGAACGGGCCAGTTAGTCACCATGGAAGCCACGGCACACAGGTGTGAGGATCGCGTACCTCTTTGACGTTCTGCAAGGTTTCCGGGGTGATCGTGAAATCAACAGGACTGGGGATCAGCTTCCCCTTCTGAGGCTGAAATGGAGGTAAAGCCACAGTTAGGGGCGGGAAGACGGTGGGCGGAGCACTTCTCCCTTCTGACGAAAGCGAATGGCATTGCAGGAAACTAACTGATGAGAGGCAGGGATCTGATTCCAAACAGACGCAGGTTCACCCACCCCAGTACTGCGTCATCTGCCGCCAGGGGCCAGATGTCTCACCCTGAGACCGTCTGGGCTCAGAACTGAAGGTCAGACCAGAGGAACAGAATGGCAATTCTGCCATCACCTCGCACAAGGAGAGCACTTGCCCATTATGTGCAGAGATGAACCAGACTGACTAGTGCTAAAGTGCTGTCTACCTAGAAAGAACATTCTAGAATCCATTCACACGGCCAGGCTACATGGAAGCCTGCTTGGCACCACACCCAAGGGCCAGGATCCAAAAAGCCAGAAGACCCAAGAACCACTCACTTCCCAAAGGCTTATCCCCAGAGCTCTCCATTGAGCGCCCTCTAGTTGGATGGGTTCACAGCACGTTCTTAGGGTGTTCTGCCTGCTGCCCAGAGGAACGCGGAACTTGTAAACCACACGCCAGAGTGATCCACAGCCTCTCTCTGAGGCCTCCACTAACATCTGTTTTCTGTCCTTTCCTGCCTACGTAGGTACCTACCTATTTTTGAGGCAGAGTCTCACTACACAGCCCTAACTATCTTGGAACTTACTAGTAGACTAGGCTAGCCTTGAACTCACAGGTATCCCCCCTGCCCCTGCCTCCCCGGTGCCACCACAGCCAGCCTTGGTTTTTGAGGCGACACCTCATCACTGTCTCAATGAAACACAAATGGAGTACAAGCCTCCTTAACTGCCGCCCACCCTCTCTCGAGGCCCTCTGAAGGCCTTAGAGCAAGCTCCCGAGGTAGCTCAGACCGACACCATTCAGCAACCCAGCTGTGCTATGCCAGGCAGCTCTCCAGCCCAGGGTCCCTGCAAGGTCCCTCTCGAGTGCCCTAACTCAGTCCTGGGACTCCTTAGACACACAGCGGGATCGCAGAGAGACAGACTGACCACTGCCCAGGCCTGAGAGTGGGTGCTACCAGGAAAAAAGGCCAACATGTGGCTGCCCCTGTGCAGCTAAAGCTAATGAGGACTGTGCTGGGGATGTGTCTGTCACCACGTGTCACACCATAGGGAAGCTCTGGTCACTGGTCATTCTGAATGCTCATGCAGGCCAATGGTTCTCCGCTTTCCTCCTGGGGCGGCCCTTTAGTACAGTGACCCCAACCAAAACATTATTTCTGTTGCTATTTCATAACTGTAACTGTGCTACTGTTATGAACTGTGATGTAAATATCTGTATTTCCCGAAGTTCTTAGGTGACCCTGTGAAAGGGTCGTTCCACCCCCGAAGAGGTCACGACCCATGCCAGGTTGAGGACCACTAACGTAGGCTATGAGGGACTTGTTATGAACTCCCCCACCGGGCTGCAGAAGCCCTGGGTCCAACTACCCAAGATGCCATGGGCAGGCATGGGGGCCAAGGTGGGCGTTCCGTCTGCACAGAGAAAGAACAGTCAGTGCTTACTGTGGACTGTAAAACGAGGTGCAGGCCCCAAAGACGGGTATCATAGAATCGGAGCCCATGCTGGTGCTCGGGCCACCACAGGTCCCCTGCCAGACCCAGCTTACTGGCTTGTGAACAGGTGCTACCCCACATCATGAGAGCCGAGGGCCCGGAGGAAAGGCTTACAGCAGAGTGAACGATGAATTCACAGGTCTTGGTCAGGTCCTTGGCCAGCAGGGACCGCCGCATGTCACAGCGCAGTGTGTACTAGAGGAGAGGCAGGAAAGACAAATGTCATGTCAGTAGGCTTTGCTCTTACCTGGCACAATGTCCAAAGCAGCAATTAGGCAACACAGTTTAAGGGCACTTTGGCCAATGGGTGCGTTTCATGCAGTTGATATACACGAGAGGAATTAATGTGCAATTAAGGCATCTCTAAACAAAACACAAGCAGCTGTTCCCTCCCACAGGCAGGCTGTAGGAGGTGACAGCCAGGTAGACAGCAGAGCACTGGTTAGAAGGCTCAATGCAGCTGTCCCTCTCCTCTGCAGCCCCAGGGATACGGAGGCTGACCTGTGACGGGGTCCGTGAGCTCCACTCTGGACACCCAGGACAGCCTCAGCACCTCCCAAGTACCACACTGGATGCTTAGTGTGGGGCACCACACCCAAGTTGGGCCACACTGTCCTGAGGAGCTTTTCATTTACACACAAGGAGCCATGGGTGAGTGCATGGATAAGGAAAAGAGGAAATAAAAACTCCAGGAAACCTAAAATCTATCTTTGTGTACTTTAAAGAAATAAAGACTATGATAAGCTCGGTGTGCAGACAGCACAGGGCCAGCCTCCTTTCCCAGCCCTCCTCCTGGGCCTGCCCACCCATCCTGTCAGAGCCTCAAGTGAACTGAGAGGTAGGAGGGAGGCTCAGCTTTGCCTTGCCTTGTTCCTTGGTGGAGTGCTGGTCGTTTTCTGAGTCCTGCTGTGAGGCTCCTGTGCTCCCCAGGAACTGGGTAGTGCAGGGCCACTAAGCTTACTTGGTTGTGGCACAGAGCTGTGGCCTTAAATCCCTGGCCATGATCCAAGGCAGCTGAGAAACCACCTGAGTGCCAGACTGCGGAAGCCACGGTGTGGCCAAGTGGCACTTGCGTAACGTGTGCCGAGCTCTGGGTTCCGTTCTCAGCATCATAACTTAGGCCCAGACCCTCATTCAGCTCCTTAAGCTTACTTGTTGCTTTAATCATATAGGGAGAAATAATGTTCTGATGGCTGGGCATCATTACTGTCCTAGAGAACCAGCCACACGAATACTCTCTTGCATCTAAGAGGTCCCAGTACACACATAGTCTACACGTCAGAGAACTCACTCTACATTTGTATTCTCAGAGCACAAGACTTCCAATCTAACTTTAAACAATTAAGTTTTTTCCCCTAGGTGACAGTAAACAATGGTATGTGAAGTGCCCAGGTGCACCGGCGGAAGCCAAAGCACAACTTCCATCACGCAAGGCTTGCAGACGGAGCTCAGGCATGGCAGTGGGCATCTTTACCTGCTGAGCCGTGCACAGTACCAGCCCTTCACTCAGTTTTTAAAAATTATGTATGTGCTGTGTGCGTCCTTGGGTTTATACATATGTGTTCACGTGCCCACAGAGGCCTGAGTTCCAGGAAGTGGTGAGCAGCCCATCCTACCTGAGGGCCTCTCTCCAGCACCATTTTGCTTCTTAGATTTATTTTTATGTGTGAGCATTCATGTGTCAGCACTCGAGTGCATGTGTATTACTGCTTGAACAGATGTGTGACACAGAGGGCTGGAAGCGTTTTCTTCATAGAAAGGCAGCTTTTGCACTAGAGCACATCATCCTACGTCGTTCACCTTGCCAGACATTCAAGCATTCCTGAAACTCAAAGACTAAGCCTTTAGTTAACCCCGCAAATGTTAGTTTTTGTTTTTAATGTGTTAGATTTTCAGCAAAAGAGTGGTACTTACTTACTAAGTGTAAACGTGATAACTGAACTTGATTAACAAATCAAACAAGTCTCCCATCCCCTGCCTTTCTGTGCATCCTAAGACTTCCGGGGGTTTTCTCAGCAAGAGCTACTGCAAGGCAGACTACACAAAAGTAGCGCTCTTTGCACGGAATGAAGGAAGGGGCTCTCTCTCTGGCTGAGTCATGACTGGGCTCTGCTCCTGAGACAATAGCAACTGTGAAAGCCATCCTCACCAGCAGAGGTAGACAGGAAGTCATAAATCCACTCCCCTCATTCACAAGGTCCCCTCAATGAAGAATGCGGCCTGTGTTGAAGTGAAGCAGCAGCTTTGGGAGTTACACAAAGAGACAGATACTCATGAGAATGAAACAGACAAGCTAACGCCGCTGCCACAAAGACACTGGAGCAGCCCCGTGCCCCTGGCGGTGCCACTGTGGCCTGAGGGAAATGCCCAGAAACAAAGGAACTTTAAGGAAGCAGTTATAACCATGGTTCCTGCCCATCACAGGGTCACCGGGCTCGGGGTAGTAACTGTCGCAGCGTGCAGGATGTAGTTGGGGCTGGGGTAGTAACTGTCGCAGCGTGCAGGATGTAGTTGGGGCTGGGGTAGGAACTGTGACAGCGTGCAGGATGTAGTTGGGGCTGGGGTAGGAACTGTGACAGCGTGCAGGATGTAGTTGGGGCTGGGGTAGGAACTGTCGCAGTGTGTAGGATGTAGTTGGGGCTGGGGTAGGAACTGTAGCAGCGTGCAGGATGTAGTTGGGGCTGGGGTAGGAACTGTCGCAGTGTGTAGGATGTAGTTGGGGCTGGGGTAGGAACTGTGACAGCGTGTAGGATGTAGTTAGCAGGACAGAGTGAGGAACTGATACAGCAATCTCAGCGAAGGAAAACAGTGCCGCTGGTCTTCTGCAGAAAAGTAAATGTGTCCAGCGTGTGGGTGGGGCAGGAGCTCACCTGGATGTTCACAAACACGCCGTGGTAGGTCTCATACAGGACTTTGCTGCCCTTCACGTGCAGAGGAAACTCAAAGGGAATCTCAGTCTTGCCATTGGGGAGCTTCCCTGGCTTCAGCACATCTATGGTGCTGTTGAGGATCTGGATCGGCTGTGAACACAGTCAGCGTCAGCCGTCAGCACACACAGCCAGCGTCAGCCGTCAGCACACACAGCCAGCACCAGGACACGGGGGACACAAATGCTCAAATGCTCCTGCACTCGATGCCTCAGCAGCACAGTGCAGGATGGCACACAAACAGCAAGCTGCTTCAGTTTCTTATGTCTGCACGGTAACGCTTCAGTTCTTTAAAATGTTCTCACTACACTTAGTTAATGCAGTGTGAGTGCATGCGTGTGTGAGTGCATGCGTGTGTGATGCACACATGCCACCAGTTTGCATGTAGAAGTCTGCTAGCAGGACACAGAAGCGACACACACTGATTTCAGACTGTTCTGTAAGAACCCAAAGTGACCCAGGCACACAGCATCCCACAGCCCAGCACCACACGCACGCATGCTCACAGAGACACGCACGCACGTGCAGACACACACACGCACACGCACACAGCATCAGTGCTGCGCTGGCCCTCACCTTCACAGAGTTGTAAAAGGCTTCGAACACGCCCACGCTTTTGGCACTGAGCTGGAGGTTTACAGTCCCTTCCATTGTCAAAGACACTCCCTGGTGCTGGACGGAGTCCTTGCTAGAGATGACCACCACACCAGAGAGCATTTCCTGGGGACAAGAGACAGCTTCCAGTTAGAGCAGCACACCCCCTAACAATCCTGTTGAGAGTCACACACTCTGTGGCGATGTCTCCATCCTCCTCACCCCTGCCTAACAACAGTGATGCCAGGCCTGGACAGAGGATGCCCTGGACCCTCCCCCAGTGCCACCTTCCAGATTCATCTTCAGTCCTGGCTTGTAAGGTCCCACCTGAAGCCTACACAGACTCTGGTGTTTACTTCATCCTGTTCTCCAGAGAAGACAGTTTACCACGTCCTATGCTCTGTGGGATTTCGGGACAGAGTGTACCTGTGTCTAGTCAATGTACCAAGTATTTGTTTTTCACTACCTACTCCAGAGCCCTAAAATCTAAGTGAAACGGGGCAGGACGGTGCAGCCGATAAAGACATTTGCTGCCAAGTGCCCTGAAATAATTTAGCTTCTAAAAATTCTGGCCAGGCCTTTAATCTCAGCACTTGGGATGCAGAGGCCAGGGGAATCTCTGAGTTTGAGGCCAGCCTGTTTTACAGAGTGAGTTCCAGAACAGTCGGAACTACACAGAGAAACCCTGTCTCAAAAAATAAAAAAAAAAAAGAAACTCAAAATTAATACTAATTTGTTGATAAATCAGGTATTTTATATACTACAAATTCCTATTTTAAAAAAAAAGAAAAGCCTCTCCCACTCTTACCTAGACATTCACTACAAAGGAGGGAAAAAACCCACTCTGGACAGTGTCCATGCCTTACCCTGGGTATCATCACACAGGGGCCTCGGCTGAGGAATCAGGACATTAGAGGGGAATCTGGAGGATGGCAACGGACCGGAACATCTTACAGAGAAACTCCTGTGTGCTGTGTGTTAGGGAGTTAGGGGTTAGGGAGCAGCCGTGGCGGCCCTCGTCATGTGAAGATGATCCTTAACCCAAGAAAGCTAAGGTAACGGGAAACAAGAGCGAGGGAGAATACAGCTCTATGCTGTACGCATGCAGTAAACAGAGAAGGTGGGCAGAATGTTCTAGACTGTGCAGCACACCATCTCTGTAGAAACGTGAACCTGTGTTCTCCACCTCAGTAGGCAGCATGACCACCTCACTGACCCTGAGAAAAACTCAACCCTTCCTTGAGGCGCAGGGCCAGAGTGTCCTGCACAGAAATTTAGTCTGTGCTCTGGAGACACTGGAGGTGCAGCAGGACCTCCCCGCCCATCCTTAACCAGATCCCACAGATTAGCCCGAGTGTGTACTGTGCAAGCTTCCCGTTCACCCCTGGCCTCAGCCTTGCGATCTTCACAGCAAAAGCCATCATCCCTTTGACCAAGAAGACACATTTCCAAACCTGTTAACAAAATGGAAGAGGCCACTCCAGACTGTGTAATGACTTTGTTCCCTGGAATAAAATGGCCAAACCATCACTTCCACTAGGAAACAGCTCACCAGGCAGCACGAGGCACCTGGCCCCTTTGACGCTGGGTTTGGACGTGCACCAGAGCATCACTGTGTGTGCACGTCACACTTTCACAGCCACTCTCCCGCCAACAGGCACGCAGGCCCATGGCATACCGTAGTGCCATGAACAGGGCTGTAAGGAATGCGTCTAAAGTTGTACACTGCCCCCCCCACTTACCGCAGGTGCTGGGGGGCATGTATGTGCGTTCTTGTACTTGCAAACATGCTTTTGGAAAAGCTGAGAAACTGTCAGATGAGCTCACACGGTCGAAGGGATGAGGGTGGGCGGGAGGAGGGCAGGGTTACCTGTCTTGGAATGTAAGCTGTTCCAACCACATGAACTGGTTATTACCACAGTAAATTCAGTTTTTGTACGGCCTCTGCCTCCTGAGTGCTGGGACTAAAGGCGTGCGCCACTGGCATCTGGTGAAGATTCATTTTTAAGTAAAACAAAATTCCAAAATGGGACACCTTTAAGACCTGAATGCATAGTCTCTTAGTCTGGGTAACTGAGGCAGGGATGTTCTCTGAAGACTCCGAAGACTGCAGGCTACAGCATTCTACTTGGGACTGGCAAGAGAGTAAAACACTCAGCTGGACACTTGGGCCATGCTCCCGCCACCTTGCCAAGAGTGCTGGAAGTACAATGAGCAGCTGTCAAAGTTCACGGTTGTCCTCAGCCTCTGCCCTGCCTCCCCGACACCCTTACAACCCCCAGGGTTCTGAAGCCAGATCTGTCCAATGACCCTGTAAACGGAGAATGGACTGCCTGCCTTTTGATGTCCAGTGGGGAAGAGAGTCTAACTAACAAGGGAGCAAACCACAAATAAGTTGCTGAGCTGGGTGGGGAAATGCTTGCTCTACTTTGTAGGAGCGCTCAGTGTGGCTAGAAAACAGCCGTCAGAACTGGAGAAGTTTCCATTTGTCTTCCATGCGCACCAGCACAGAGCAGCGGCATGTCCGTCTTGTTTGAAAAGTTGGATAAATAGTCAGCAGGCATTTCTCCCCATAGAAGTCATGCCGGCATGCTGTGTGTCTATGGAAGTTCTGCGAGGAAGGAATTTTGAGGACAGTGTGCTGTTGTGATGCATCAGTAAAAGGCAGTGGTGGCACTCGCCTTTAGTCCCAGCACTTGGGAGTTCAAGGCCAGCATGGTCTACAGAGTGAGTTCCAGGGCAGCCGGGGCTACAGAGAAACTCTCTTGAAAAACCAAACAAGAAAGTGAGACTGTGCGGAGCTGGAATTGGCTCCACAGGAAGAGCTCACAGTCCTCAAAGCCCATCACACAGCTCACAACTGCATGTAACTCCATTCAACACTGAGGGCCTCTGCAGGTACCTGCACTCAAATACACATACGTGGCCGCATGCGCGCGTGTGTACACACACACACACACACACACACACGCACACACACACACTTAAAAAAACACAAAATAAATATTTTAAGTGAGATAGTGCTACCCACTCCTGAATTCTGCCAAAATGAAAGTGCAGACTTATCTTCACCTGAGAGCTTCCGCATAAGCAATTGTAGCAATTTTACTCTATCTATCCAGATGTCCTTCTATGGATGGATGCACAAACCGTGGTTCCTCCATACAGGGTTAGACAAGGCAGCAATAAAAAGTTAAGAACTAAGCTAGGGGTGATGGTACACACCTAAATCCCAGACTGGGTCGGGGGTCAGGTGTCAAGACCTGTGAGCTTGCAGTGCGGACCACATAGTTCAGGGTTCTTCCCTGCACAGACGCAGCAGATCACCAGAGCCCTCCTCCACATGTCTACAGGAACAGTGTCTGGCGGAAGCTCTCACTTTTCCTCATGTGGGACTCTTCAGGGTTACCATTGCTACAATGCAGCCGTGACAGGAACAGCTCAACTTCCAGATGTGGCCTGGAAACAGCTCACCCACGAAATGCTGAGGAAAAGACAGCGCACGTGCAGCCACCTGGGTTTGCCAAGCCGTGCCACGGGTGGCCTGAGTGTGCGTAACACCCCAGCATGCAGCTCTACCATGCTGGGGCTGGAAGCATGGGGATGTGCATGGCGGAGGTCATGCCTGCAGCAGTGGCCCCTGCTCCGTGCAGCTTCTCCCTTGGCTCTGGACGTCACAACACGAAGCTCTGAGCTCAGCAGGAACCTCTCACTGAATGCTGCTGTCAGGTACTGGTTTGCTTCTGCTTTTCCAGAGCAGTCAGGGCCGGTGTGTGAGATGGGAGGGGAAACAAGTCACGGCACCTGCTCCCAAACCTGACGTTAGGGGAGAACCGAACCCACTAGCTTCGCCTGACCACACACAGGCACGCACGCGCACGCCCATGCACACATGCACACACAGGAATGAATGAATGATACGGGGGAAAAAAGTCATTCTTTTCCCTGACTACAAGCTGAAGCCTAAGTAGTGCCTGGGGTTGGAGAAGAAATTACAGATGGAACAGCACATATTAGCACCATTCACGAGCTGGGGCAGCGGGGGTGTGTGTGTGTGTGTGTGTGTGTGTGTGTGTGTGTGTGTGTGTGTGTGGCAACAATGATGGAGAGCAAATAGAAGAGTGCCTTCACTGAATGTCTCAGTGACCCACGTTGTAAGAGCTCAGTCAATAATCAAGGGCAAACATATGACACTGAGAGATGGGTTCACAGACAACCACACCCAGAAGTTCAGCTGCAGTCACGTTTGCCGCACAAGCACCCCAAGCATGCCCTCTCACCCCTCCTCTGAGCTGGCTGGCAATGGGGCTGCCCCAGCGGGAGCCGAGGACCGACAGGCCAGCGGGGAGCTGACTCAGCCTGGGGCACTGCGCAGGGAGAACATACCAGAGAGGGGCTGTGGTGAATACTGCTCATACACTGTCGAGGATCCTAGGAGACAAGCTGTGGGTGGCCTGTGAGGGGCCGTCTGCCTTAGGTAAGTGAGGAGGGTACCGCGCTAACACTGGCAGCTCTTCCTGACTGCGGGCACAAAGTGACCAGCTGCCTCAAGCCCCTTCACCATCAATCCCCACAGGGACTGTGAGCCACATCAACCTTTCTTTCCTTGAGCTCCTTGTCAGCATGCTATCTCAGCAGCAGGAGAAGTAACAGATACAGGGCGGCTGTCTGCACAGCTGACTCCAGCAAGAGCAACTGGGTGGGGAGCGCAGAGCCTGGGGAGCGGCAGGAAGCCACTGGGTACAGCTGGGGCAGAGGAAGGCCGGAGAACAAGCCCGGCTCCGCAGGGAGGAGTCCACGCAGCCCCGATGCACAGGGTGTGTAGCACGCTTAGACCTAAACAGCTGCGGAGCCTAAGTGAACACCCTGCAGGGGGCAGGCCGGCACCAGAGCACAGAACCACAAAGACAATTTTGCTGCAAACAGGCTAGGAGAGTTCTCCAGACACCTGCCAGCCATTGCATAAGGCCTGGGTCGTGAATTAGGAAACACTTACAGTACACAACTGTGCCCCACATGACCCTGCAACCCTCCCAGTTTGAAGATGACCATCTTGTATCACAGCACTACAGCTCATTTGTTAGGAATCTAGCAGGTCAGCTGCCTTAGCCACTGTTGAATTATGGTAAAGAGACACCATGACCACCGCGGCTTACAAACCATGTAACTGGGAGTTGGCTCACAGCTCGGAGGGTGAGTCCGTGACCATCATGGTGGGGTGGTGGGGTGCATGGCAGCAGGTACAGGCAGGCAGGAAGGTGCTGGAACAGTAGCTAAGGGCTGGTCCTGAGTCACACCCAAAACACAGAGACTGGGCCTGGTGTGGGCTTCAGAGACTTCAGACCCCAGTGACACACCTCCTCCAACAAGGCTACACCTCCTAATCCTTCCCAAACGGCCCCACTTACTGCAGACCAAACATTCAACTATGTTAGCCTATGAGGCCATTCTCACTCAAAGCTCCCTCCGCAGTAACACAGAGTACTCAGGCTTCCTGTCTGTGTCAGGATTTATTTCATGAGTAGGGGTGTTTTGCCTGCATGTGTGCCTGAGTATGCCTGCTGCCCATGAAGGTCAGGGGAGGGTGTGAGACCCCCTGGGAATGTGAGCTGCTTGTGAGCCACCACGTGGATGCTGGGAACCACATCAGGCTCTTCTACAAAAGCAGCCAGTGCTGGGAACTCCAGCCACCTCTCCAGCCCTGGGCTTTCATTTTTAAACAGCATTATAGTTTTGCAACTTTTCGTTATAAATAATGAGCTGTTGCGTTCAAGGTTTCCCTCTTTATTTTTTAAGAAGTTACATCCACAACAAGTAAGACATAATGAACATAGAGTTCTGGGATCTTTTCGGGGAATGGGTAGGTAACAGTAGCCACCCCATAGCACAGAAACCTCTTGTCAGAATAGCCCTGGCTGTCCTGAGAGCATGTATCCCCTTTTATTTCACAACTCTTAACACTCAATGGTGTCACTTTCATGAGTACACACATCAGATTTAAGAATAAAGAATTCTGAATTCATAAATAGAAATGAATTATATTTACATTACAGGAAGATTTACCGCAGGGTTCTTCTGGCCAATAAGCTCCTCTAGTACATCAAGACATAAGGTAACTCACAATGTCATATTCATTTTTGTTCAAGTACCTGTTAGTACCCCCACACAAAGAAAGTGCTAGAACCTGTGCACTCTGTTTGGATACTGACCCTGTCCACGGTGGGCCGGAATCTGACCACAGTGCCATGCTTAGCGAGCGCCTGGCATGCCACTTGTGGAGTATGCTGCCACAGTCCCGTCATGGCAAAGTAGCTCCAAGGGTGAACAAACTATGGGGTGGATGAAAAATAGGACAATACAACCACTTGGCATCTGAACCTCTACCATGGTGACATTTATGGTTAGCCTGGAAGTATTGGCTCTTCATTTTGAAAACACAGCATTGAGCAGGCACCATTTCCGTCCTGCAGATGGGAATGAAGACCCAGATTCCTGACTGAGAAGTGAAGGATGGCGACCCCTGACCGCAATCCCAGCATTCCAGACGCCACTACAGGGAGACAGCTGCAACTTCAAAGCCAGCTTCGGCTACAGGGTCTCAGGCCATCCTGAGTGACAAGCAGACAGACTGACCAAAACAACAGGGAGGAACTACCTGAATTTGATGCACAGGCCATGGCGGACGGAAAGAATCGACGGACTCAGTGTCTTGTCTTTCTGTGTGTGTGTGTATCCTACACACATACTAACATACACATGTAAGTAAGTAAATGCTCAAAACAAAAACAGGCAGTGGGCCACACCTTTAAACCCGGCACCGGGGAGGCAGGGGCAGGCAGTGCTACACAGAGAAATCCTGTCTCAAAAAACAAAACAAACAAATAGAAAAATAAAGGGCCTTTTTTTTTTTTTTTTTGGCTGTATCTAAATTTGTGTGTGTCTGTCTGTATTTACATTTTACCTCTACAAAACTATTAACTGGGCAAAACAAGTAGAGCCACATAGCTTTCAACTGGCCTCAGAACTGTTTAGTTTCTGCTACATTTGCTTTTGTTTTGTACACACAGCAGGTGCATATGTACACCCACACTTCACAGCTAGACCTCCTGAGCTTACTATGGTAATGGTAAGGTCCAGCATATGGAAGGGGCTCCCTCATCACTCATATTCACTAGCAAATTCAACACTGATGCAATTGTTCGACAAAGTTGCCGTTTCCTCTTAAACAATTTTATTGCCTTAACTTTCAAGACTACTTATTTGAAATTCTGTGAGTACACTTGTGTCTGTGAGTGGATATGAGCGTGTGAGGGCAGGTGCAATCCAGAGCTGCCGGATTCCCTGCAGTGGGAGTTCAGGTGGTTGTGAGTGGCCTGACACGGTGCTGGGAAGCCAGCCTGGATCCTCTGCAAGGTAAGCGCCAGCCCATCCGTCTGTCCAGCCCTCTATCTTTTCTGAGGCAGGATCTTATGGAACCCAGGCTTGCATCAAGCTCAGTATGCAGCTGACGATGGCCATGAACCTGTGACCCTCCTACCTCTAACTGCCGAGTGCAGCGCGAGGGATGAACCCACGGCTTTGTGCGCGCTGGCGACTGTATTACCATGTCAGCAACCTCCCCGGCCCGTTTTGTTTTGTTTTTTAATATGCCAATGGTCTGACAGTGTCCCTCAAGTGAGCGAGGCGGGACAGACAGTTTCCTTTATAAACGGGGGGGATATTGTGGCAGGCACGAGTTCTTTCTCGGTGCATCTCGCCATAGCCTGCGCTGGTTGGTGGGCGCTTGGCGGTGTTTGGGCTTCTGGTTTGGGGGGGTCTTTGGTCGTGAGGGTGGAAGTGGGTGTGGCCGGAACCTTCACCCCGCTCAGGGCTCCCGCTTTGAGCGTGCACCCGCTGGTGGGTGCGCGCGGCTGCCGGCGCCCTGAGCGGCTCCCTGGGAGCGGGCGCGTCGCTCAGCGGCTCCCCCGCCACCCCCGCCACCCCCGCCCGGGGCCTGGGCGCCGCCCGCGGGCCCGAGCGCGCACTCACCCCGGCGTGGTACACTTTGTTCGCCCTCTTAATCTTGATGTCCAGGGAGGTCCCCATGCCCGCTCATCCGCCGCGGCCGCCACTTCCGGCCCCGCGCGCCCCGCCCCGCCCCGCCCCGCGCCGCAGCGCTGCCACGTGACAGGGGCACGGGACGCGCGCGCGCGCGCACGCACGCACACTTCCGGAAGGCTGCAGGGAGCCCGCGGCTCTCCCGGCGTGCCCCGCGGCGGGGCGGGGCCCTCCCGTCATGCTGTGCGCGCGGCGCCGCGCTGCGGCGGTGGCTCCCGGGGGCGGCGGCACACACGCGTCCGCTCCAGCGCTCGCCTCGCCCTCCCCGTCCCCCGTGGCGGCGCCCGCGCCCGGGTCCTCCCCGCCGGCCCGTGCGTGCCAGCCGCAGGGGCGTGGCCCCGCGCTAGCGGCCCGCCCTTCGCTGATTGGCGGAGCGCCGCGGCCACGCCCCCAGCAAGGCCACGCCCGCCGCGCCCGGCCAAGGTCTCGGAGAAGCGCGGGTGACCTCGCTGCGCCGGGTCGCCACCGGCCGCGCGGGCTCACGGGTAATTTTCTCCCTCCCCCCCCGCCCCCGTCCGGCGCATGCGCGCTGCGCTCCCGCCCGGTTTCCTGCCGCAGCGGACGCCGGAAGTGCGGAGGGCTTCCGCCGGCCCGCGGCCGTCCCAGTGGATCCCGTACCTGCCGGTGTCCACAGACCTTCGCTGCAGCAGCAGCCAGCAGTGCCCTTCCCGACACGGCCCAGACCTTTTGTCCTCCATGCGTTCTCCGCGAGCGAGTAAGGACGCTGGTGACAGCCTGGGTTCCATCCCTGGTGAACCGGCTCCCACATGTGCACACGCGCACTCAGTAAAAGCTTGCTTTTAGAATGGCACGTCCTGCCCACGGAGGAGGCGGTCCCATTCCTCTCTGATCTCCTTGGTCTCTCTTGAAACGTGAGGACAAGCTAGCATGGTGACGAAGCAGACTCTCCTGCCAGTGGGTCGTGCCGATGCCCGAGGAAGGTCATGCGACCGTCCCGTCCTGCATCTCTTCCCACCACTAGATCACAGGGCCCCAGCCCCCCCTGTGTTCCGTCCTGGGCTTTCCTGTATAGACCTGGGAGAGGAAGGATTTGGGGGGGGGGGTGGCGGTAATCAATGGAAGCAGAATTAGATGTAAGTCGTTTATTAAGTGCTGGAAGTAACTCCAATCCTAGACATCTGTCAGGGTAATTGTGTATTAGTCCCTTTTATGTTTTTATGTTACGGGTGTTTGCCTACATGTATATCTGCACACCACCTGTGTGCCAAAAGAAGCCATCAGATCCGGAAGCAGAGTTAGCAGGTAGTCATAAGCCAGCGCGTGGTGCTGGGCATCTAACTAGGGTCCCGTGAGAGCAGCTAGGACTTTAACTGCTGGGCCATGTCTCTAGCCTTAATTTCTTGTGTCACTGTTGTGATGAATACATGACAGGAAGCCACTGGAGGAAGGAGTTTACTGTGGGTCACAGTTTGCAGGCCTGGCAGCGGGAGCCTGAGGTAGCTTATCACATGGCATCCACAGGAAGGAAGGAAGGAAGCAGAGGAAGGTGGCGCTGGCACTTAACAGCTTCTCCTTTCATTGTGTCCAGCGCCCCAGCCTGTGCCGTCCACACACTCAAGGGGAATCTTCTCACCTCAGGCCAGGCAGTCCCTCAGACTCGCTCAGAACTCCATCCCCAAGGTGGGTCAAGGATCCAGTCAAGCTTGCCTTATTAACCATCACACTAGTGTCCAGTTGTCGACTTCCTGGCAACTCAGACAGCAGCAACTGTCCAACCGGGCACCTTTAACCAGCTTCTCCTTTGGGCCCCCTGTAAGCGTTGAGGGCATGCTTTCTGAGCTGCTGGTGATTTAGACTACACAACTCTCAACTACATCACTCTTCAATCTTTGCCTCTAGCTGAACTGAACTTTCCCCAAGGTCATGCTACCTTTTCAAAGGCAACCTATGTCTGATGACTCAGGACAACACTGAAGAGCAGTTCAGGAAAGGCCCTCTTCTATCACACACAACAACTCATTCAGTAGTTTGGAACAGCAAATATCCGCGATATTGAAATGAGTGCAGGCCAGCAACAACTGGGTGGCCGACCTATGGTCTCCAGCAATTTGGATCAAGACATTAGACAGGGCTACAAACTTACACGATAGGAACATTGCAACCTCTTCACCCAAGGAAGGGTGAATGCACTTGGGAAGCATTCCTAAGGTTCGTAACCCCTCCTGACTGCAGAGACGGCAGAGACGACGGCTAGTCACTGCGCTTCCTCTGTGCTCACAGTATGAGCATGGCTAAAGGCCTGCCAATCAAATAAGGCAAGCAGGGCTGCTCCATCACAGTCAGGACAATTTAAAGTAAACAGGTGAGAGTTTCATTAATTGATCATGAAGGTAGGGCACCATTACCACAAACACTACACAGTAGCACAGCATGTTAGTTTCCTAGGGCTGCCCTGACAAGGACCACAAACTGCATTGCTTAAACAGAAGAAATGTATTCTGTCATATTTATGCAAGCTACAAACTTGAAAAAAAGTTAGGATTGGTTGTCTCCGAGGACTATGGGGGGATATTAACCAGGCCTTTCTCTTTGTCTTCCTGGGGCTCTACATGCTTGCTTTGTCTGTCTTTTGGTGCACCCTCCATACGTGTGTGTGTGTGTGTGTGTGTGTGTGTATGTGTGTGTGTGTGTGTGTATGTGTGTGTGTGTGTGTGTATGTGTGTGTGTGTGTGTGTGTCTACGCTTGCTCCTCCTATTAGCCTACATTAGTGACCTCTTTTTAACTTACAGATCTCTATGAGGACCTTATTTCCAAATACAGTACCATTCTGAGCTCTTAAGATTCAAGTCCTAGGGTTAGGGTTTGAATTGGGCAGGGACACAATTTAAACTTAAAATATGTAGCAATAAAATATAAGTAACAGAAATGTAAGCAAAATGGACTGAGACGGTTGGTAGGTTTTAACACTACTGCACATTCCTTGGTGGATTAAAAGTGAAGGAATTAAGAGCTCTAATGAACAGAGTAAGAAGTACAACAAACAAGACAGCCGGGCTTACTTGGTGAGCTCCAGGTCAGTGAGAAGTCCCATCTCTAAAGAAAAAAAGTTCATCAGTGGTGGCACACACCTTTAGTCCCAGCGCTCAGGAGACAGAGGCAGGCAGATCTCTGTGAGTTCAAGACCAGCCTGGTCTACAGAGTGAGTGCCAGGACAGGTTCCAAAGCTACAGATAAACCCTGTCTCAGGGAAAAGAGAGAGAGAGAGAAAGGTAAACATAGATGAACAGCACCTGACCTCCAGCATTAGCACAAACAAATGCAAACAAAAATGCTGATCTGATCGGGTGGGGACTTTGGTACACAGTTGAATTCTCTCACCGGAGATAAGATAATCACCTGGTCAGGTGACATTTTTTTAAATATTAGCCTAAAGTGTTTTTAATTCTTAGCATTTTTTGTAGGTTCCCAACTCTCAGACTTTGCCTTAGATCATAGAAGGTGTGATAAACAAGGTTTCCTTCCAAATATTAAAAATGTCAGGTCTAAAGGAGGGGCTATGGAAAGAGGACAGAGAGAGATGGGCGGTCCTAGGGTCACATGGGACAGTCAATGACCCACCTGGGGACGGAGGCGGGCAGGGCTACAGAAACCATGACTAGATAGAACCCTGAGAAGCTGAGGAAGGAAAGGACCTAAGACTTGTAGAATCAGCAAGGGTGAACTCTGCTAATGCAGGGCTCAGCCCAGAACAAACAGTCCTTGTAGCTTGTGGCCCAAGCACTGCTGGGTTAGGCCATGGTCAGATAACCCAGCAAAGGCCGTGTTTTAAACTTTGCCTCTGTCAGAAGGTGAGGACGCAGGATGAAGAGGGACTTATGGAATGCTATCAGTTGAGTTCCAAGAATGATTTTTCCTTAGTAGTCATGGCTACTGGAAAGCCAAATTGGATTAATTTATAGAGAAATGACTGCTGGGTGGGTTTGGTTTTTGTTTGTTTGTTTGGTTTTTTTTTTTTTTTTTTGGTCATTTCTGTGTTGTGCTTGTAAATTTTGAAATAACTACATATACAAAAATCAATAGGCCTTTCTAGTTACAGCAATAAAGAGCCAGGAAATGAAATGAAAATAAGAAGTACATTCTCAATAGCAATAAAAACATAAATATTTGCAGTAGTTGGAATGGGATGTGTGTTGGAGCCACACAAATAAGGGCACAATGCTGATTTAAGCCATATCACATGAGAGATATACAGTGTTTCTGAATAGCAAGTCTATAAACATTTTAAATATCCAATTATATTGTTTAGTTCTAATGAATTCCTCTGAAGGCCCCAATGCAATTTGAATGAGAAAATTTAATGGAATTATTTTAAAATTCTTTCTGGGAAAAAAAATGTTCTTGAATAACGTCTTTTCTTTTTGGAGTTGACAAACTGGGTATAGTGTTCCAAAGAGAACTGTGAATTTGAGGGTAACCTTGACTACATATCAAAATACTATCTCAAAACTATAAAGGAGATTAATAAAGAGTAATGAGAATTAGAGCAAGAGGCCGGAAGGGTGGCTCAGCAGTTAAGAGCACTGGCTGCTCTAACAGAGGTCCTGGGTTCAATTCCCAGCACCCACACGGTGGCTCGCAACCATCTGTGGTGGGCTCTGATGCCCTCTTCTAGAATGCAGGCATACATACAAATAAGCACTCATTTACCTACATGCATGGATGCATACCATACATAGGATCGGAACCAGACGTGATGGCCCACACCTTTAATCCCAGCACTCAGGAGGCAGAGGCAGGTGGGTCTCTGGGTTTGAGGACAGCCAGCTCTATGTAGAGAGATCCAGTCTAAAAATAAACAATTAAAGTTGTATTTCCCTGGAAGAAAATCAACCCGGCAGAATAGAAAGTTCAGGCTGGAGGCCAATGAGCGTAATTCTTTCAATGTATATGTTTAAGCTGGGGACAGTACTTCCCCCCCCACCCCCCACCCCCCCCACCCCCGTCCTCCATCCTCCTGCCTCTGCCTTCCCGACTGCTGGGGTTA